CAATATGCTAGTAAAGCTTTTGATAGTTTAAAAACATGATTTGGAAAAGCATGATCTTCAAAACTTAGAGGTTGTTTAACATAAACTTCCTCATTTATAAAACCATTAAGAAAGGCACTTTTTACATCCATTTGATAAAGTTTGAAATCTCTAAAACATGCAAATGCAAGTAACATGCGAATGGCTTCTAATATAGCAACCGGAGCAAAGGTTTCATCGAAATCAATACCTTCTTCTTGATTGTATCCTTGTGCAACAAGTCTAGCCTTGTTTCTTATAATTGTACTGGATTCATCAAGCTTGTTTCGAAAGATCCATTTGGTGCCGATAATGATATAATCTTTAGATTTTGGCACAAGTTTCCACACTTTGTTTCACTCAAATTGGTTGAGCTTTTCATGCATAGCTATCATCCAATGTTCATCGAATTTGGCTTCTTGAAAGTTTTTAGGCTCAATCTGTGAGAGAAAAGCCAAGTTACTACAAATGTTTCTAAATGAAGAGCGAGTTTCAATACCTTTTGTAGGGTTACCTAGGATTAAATCCTTAGGGTAATTATGAACAAACTTCCATTCTCTTGGCAAATCATCATTGTTTCCTCCTTCTTCTTGAGGTGAGAGAATAGGTTATTCAATCTCTTTGTTCAACTTACATGGCTGGTTCTCTTTTTTGTAGATACTTGAATCTTCTACATTTAGTTCCAAATCTATATTATCACCAATTTGCTTTTGAGCAGAGACGTTAGTTTCATCAAATGCTACATGTATAGATTCTTCCACAACAAGAGTTCTTTTATTAAAAACACGATAAGCTTTGCTAGTTAAGGAATAGCCAAGAAAAAATGTTTCATCAGATTTTGAATCAAATTTACCTAAGTTATCCTTACCATTATTATGCACAAACCATTTACAACCAAAAACATGTAAGTGACTAATGGTGGGCTTTCTATCATGCCAAAGTTCATAAGGAGTCTTTTTGAAAATAGGTTTAATTAATGCACGATTTAAAATATAGCATGCGGTGTGAACGACTTCGGCCAAAAAATATTTAGGAATATTATTTTTACAAAGTATTGTTCTACTCATCTCTTCTAAAGTTCTATTCTTCCTTTCTACTACACCATTTTGTTGAGAGGTTCTAGATGCTGAAAAATTATGTCCAATACCATGCTCATCACAAAACAATTCAAATTTCTCGTTTTCAAGTTCTTTACCATGGTCGGTTCGAATATTAGTAATAAGAAAGCCTTTTTTATTTTGAATTTTACGATAGAGTTTTGTGAAAGAAGAAAATGTTTCATCTTTGTGTGCTAAAAACATAACCAATGTAAATCTTGAATAATCATCAACAATAACAAGACAATAATGTTTACCACCTAGACTAAATATCCTCGAGGGACCAAATAAATCCATATGCAATAGTTGTAAAAGTCTAGTTGTGGAAATATGAGATTTTGATTTAAATGATGTTTTAGTTTGTTTTCCTTGTTGACAAGCACTACAAAGATGACCTTTTTCAAATTCAACTTTTAGAAGTCCAATGACCAAATCCTTTCTCAAAAGTTTACAATTAAATTCATATGAGCATGACCAAGTCTTCTATGCCATAACCAACTATTTTCATTATTAACATATAAACATTTAATATCACTAGCATAGAGATCATTAAGATGAAAAACATAAACATTATCATAACGATTACCAACGAATAAAGCTTTATGATCATTTGTGCTTTCAATTGTGCAATGTGATTTATCAAAAATAACTCAATTACCTTTATCACATAATTGACTAATACTAAGTAGGTTATGCTTAAGTCCATTAACAAGTAAAACATTTTCAATAGAAGGGCTAGGAGAAATACCGATGCTACAAATACCGATGATTTTTCCTTTCTTGTTGTCTCCAAAAGTAACAAATCCTCCATCTTTCGATGATAGTTTAGTAAAGAATGATTTATCTCCGGTCATGTGTCTGGAACATCCACTATCAAGGTACCACTTCCCTTCTTTAGCTTTGAACTTAAAACAAATCTATAAAATGACAATCAAGTGTTGGTTTTTAGTATCCGTAGTTTCTTGGGTCATTCTTAGTTAGTTTTGTTAGATCCCTTAATAATCCAAATCTTTTTAATTCTCATGTTCATATTCTTTTTGAATGGACAATAAGATATACAATGACCTTTTTGTCTCCAATAATGACAAGTAATATGAGGGTGTGTCATGAGAGGTGCCTTTTTAAAAATTGTATTGAGATTCTTTTGTTTCTTAATAGATATCCGCTTTTATCACAAACACATTTTTTATTTCCAAAAAGCATGTTGAGATTATCTCTACCTTTTACAAAATTTTCAAGTACTTTTATTAAATCATCAACATTGTTTTTTAAAGTAGTTTTCTCATTAGAAATAGTATCAAAATCATTTTCAAAACAATTTTTTCTTTCTTTAATTCTTCTACATTAATGGATAAAGATGCAACAGATTTCTTCAACACATTATTTTTGGCACAAATTTTTCTAAATTCATCTTGTAATTCATGGAATGCACTTTCAAATTCTTCATAAAGAGTAGTTACCTTATCTTAAGTAGAGTCTTCATCTTCAAGAGCCATGAGACATAAGTTGGCTACTTCATTTTCAATTTCATCACTTGAGCTTTCATCTTCACTTTCTCCCCAAGGTGCTACCATGGTGTTTTTGTTTCTTTTGTAGTCTTTTCCATGATTCTTCAATTTTGGACAATCTATCTTCATATGTCCAGGATTTTTGCACTCATAGCAAATAATAGGCTCTTTCTTGTTATCTTTGTTGTACTCTTTCTTGAAAGGTCTTCTTCCTCCATAATTGTTGTTCTTGAAGTGTTTTTTGAGATTTCTACTAAACATGGCATAACTTTCATCTTCACTGGAGTTTTCAAGTTTTTCTTCATTTGATGAGGCTTTGAATGCAATTTCACTTTTCTTTTTGTTTTCAACATCTTCATGTCTTTTCATGGTGATCTCATGAGTCATAAGGGAACCCATATGCTCATCCAATCCAAGTGTGGAGAGATTTTTGGCTTCCATAATGGCCGTGACCTTTGTTTCCCAATTCTTTGGTAAACACCTAAGAATTTTTCTCACCAACTCACTATTAGTATAAGTTTTGCCAAGAGATTTCAAAGAGTTTACAATTTCAGTAAATCTAGTAAACATACTTGAAATAGA